CTCTCTCTCTCTCTCTCTCTCTCTCTCTCTCTCTCTCTGCACATAATAAATTTGCACCAACGGTATCCATTGATCATGCAACCCATTCTGCTAACTGTTGTTCCGGTTGTGGCATCATTGTCGTTTAATATTCCTTCTCTCTCTCTCTCTCTCTCTCTCTCTCTTGAGGGTGGATGTTGTGTAGGTATGCCAATCATTCTGACAGATATGTCCAGTACTGTTCCGAGGCATAGAACATGAGAGGATGCATTATATGTGCTCCCTAAGGAGTTTCCAATGCGTATCGAACTGCGCTCGTATGCTTCGAAAAACATGACGGACGACAATACAACACGAAGAAGAAAAAGTTGGATAGTGATATGACGGATCCATGCAACCCTTCGAAATCTCCTGTTTGAGAAGCTTACTTTTGGTAGTTGTCTTTCCTTTATAGGCAGCCATATCCAAGGCAAGGAAAGGAAGGAAGACGGCATCCAGTTGTGCGCGAGAAGTTCATCGAAAGGGGCTTTAAGAAAAGAAAGGTGGTATATATGTATATTTTTTGCTGGGGTATATATAAATCGATATGGTTAATAGTAGACAAGCTTAAGGCCTGGGATTTAAGAGTGTCAATTATTGGTACGTAGAGGATCCAAACTCTTTCGAGAGCAAGAAAAGCCTTTTCGTAGAGGATCTAAACTGTCTAATAAAGCAATAACCATCCTCGTGATCTATAGCCTCTCTTGTGTGCATGTGTATGTGTATGTGATTCATATCAACAAAAGACGTGAAGAAAGAAGAAAAGGACATTTATCACATATCAAATGCCATGAACCAAAAGCAGATAGCATTTACTACTGAAATCTCCTTCCCTAAGCCCGATCGGAAAGAGAAAGCATTGCTTTGTTTATTAATGAGGAAAATTGATTCTTAATGAGAGGAGAAAAAGCAGCATCAGAACATGAACACATTGCTTTGTTTCCTGTAGGCAGTGAGTTTTCGAGCGAGAGGAAAACCAGGAAAACACACAAAACTAAAACAGAACAATAGATAGATCGGTACAAATGGAATACATGCTAATGAAAACAAGGAAAACAAAAGAGGCTGTTCATCGGTTCCTCGAAACATAACAATTTAACAGCTGATCACTCCATTACATTAGCAAATTATTAGGGCTAGCACGAACAAAGTAAAGATAATAGTATGACTTCATGTACAAGACCTTAGCCCACATAGATTGATCTTCTAACTTGGCATGATACTACCGAAACCAAGACATTCGAAGAAGCAATATTATTATGAGCTAGTTAACTCGATAACGGAGGGCACCTACTAGCTAAAAATCATGTCACCTTTGCTCATTTCGTTGATGACAATCTTGTTCGATCTCCGATGATGGATCGTCTTCCTCCTCGAAGCAGTTGATGTCGTATGCAGCGTGCTCGCCCCCAAAGGCCTTGATGTGGTCCTTCAGTGATCTCTTGTGCTTGAAGTCGGAGCCGCAGACGCAGTACCACAGTTTACCGCAGTTCTTCTCATGGGTTCTCCAATCTCCTTTCACTGCAAAGGCCTTACCGCACTTGCGGCACATGAAGGGTTTGATTCCATGCTTCCTTTTATAGTGCGTTTGGAGGGTTCTGAAGTCCTTCAGTGGCTTTGATCTCGGATGGTCTATGTTGTTCCTGCAACCAGGAGCACAGCAGTAGCATGGAAGCCTCAGCATTGCCGTAGGTTGAATGCCCCTCAGAGACTTTGGTCCCTTCCGATACTGCGATCCATGTCCCCACATATGCATCTATCATTCAGCACAATTAAAGACCCCCGTCGTAATGAGATCATAAAGTATAAGAGATCAACTTATTTTTGAGACAGGTGTCACATATTATCATCCGAAGTAATGTATGTCATGCACATAACATGTTGAAATCTAGGAAGATTATGAAAAGGAATGATTCCACATGAGAATTTCAAAGCATAAGAGAAAAACAATATGCTGTTTCTAACTAGGAGTCAGAAAAGTTATATCATGTCCATTTCATACATGTTCAAGATTTATACTAATATATGATTGCATCGGTTCTTTTTTTTTATCTGCTGTTAAATCTGAAACACCTCGCTAGTTGGTCTGTCACTCAAAAGACTTGAGTAGGCGTCACAAGAATTTCACAAAGTCTTTTGCGTGAAGATCCAGAGAGAGAGAGAGAGAGAGAGAGAGAGAGAGGTGACTGTCTCTCACTATTCTGGGGAAAGCAGCTAGCTCATTTGTAAGGCTTTATATGGACTCGAGTTCTTGAGCCAGTGGCCTGAGTGCTGAAGATCCTGATTTGCCTCGCGGATCATCTGAGTCACCCTGAGAACTAAATTATTTTCAGAATTTTCAGAACTTTTTATTTTAATTCATGAAAGAAAGAAGTTTGTTCAGGATTCTTCACAACTACCGATGCTTCACATATCAAAAGCTCCAAAAAAGCACCAAATTTGTGAGGAATATAACCTATGTCAGGTTCAATCACATAAAAAGGAGGGGAAGCCAAATGCTACATAGCTCCAACAGACCTTTATGTTGCAGAATACAGTTCTCATCATCAAGATCTGAGATGAGAAGCAAAAGAACATGCTAACGAGTCCGAGAAATAGAGGAAGAAATGCATTACCTGCATGTTGTTGTATCTATTGAAAGTCTTGTAGCATACAGGACAAGAGAACTGGGTAGGTCCGATAAGGATTTGAGAAGGGGTTGGAATCCAATACTGGCCTTTGTTGAGCTTTCCTATGGGATTGGAAGGGTAGCCTAAAGGAACCACCTCGTCGCCACCTTCTGCTCCCTTTTCTCCATTACGATCTTCTGAGGTGGAGGGGAGTCTTGATATCAGATCAACTGCACCAGGGCTTGGGGGACCGATGTGGAGAGCCACAGTCACCGCATCATCCGCTTCATCATCGACACCTGAGGCCTTGTTCTTGGCCACTTCGGTGGAGGCACTGCACGAGGTGTCCTCGTCCTCCTCTTGGTGCCTCGTGGGGCTGAGGCTGAGGAGAGGAAGAGCCTCTCTAAGAGGAGGAGAGGGTGGATGCCCTGGGATGAACGCGTTGGTGTAGCTTTGCGTGCTCAAGTTGTAGAATTGAGGAGCAATTGATGGTGGAGGTGGCTTGGAGGTGAAAGCGTAGTGCTGGTGGATTCCTATGAAGAAATTAGTGTAGGGATCTGCCATGACAGAATATGGGAGAAAATAGAGGAGACTGATGGATCTGTATAAGGGTAGACAGAAGTAGCAGAGAGAGAGAGAGAGAGAGAGAGAGAGAGAGAGC